TTGATCAAAAGTGATGATAAAGGCATTTATAATGTTACAAAAGATTTCTATTTCAGATAAATAGTGTTCATATCGATATCGGAATTATATCGTATCGACCGAAATTAAGAAATATATCGTGATATCAATTTAGGCCATATCGTCCAGCCCTAGTTTAGGTTTGATATTTTTACTATTTGTCCACAAACTAACTAGTCAAATGATGTGGTAGGCTAGTTTGCCTACACTTTTTTCCCCCTAATTTTCATTTTAGCTTTAATATTTTAACTATTTGTCCACTAACTTGCTAGTCGAGTGGTATGGTTTGCTAGCTTGCCTATTTTTTTTTTTCTTTGAATTTTTATATTAGCTTTGATATTTTTAGTACCTTTGCACTCAAGAGGCAGATCTTGTGCTTTTTAGCCTATTATTTAATTCAGAAAATATCAGTAAATTCTGTTTGTGGATATCTAGATTACTTGCTACTATGCGTTTTACATTTCAAAGATTTGATGCCACTGGGAAAATGGCAAAATCCAATTCTTCAAACTACTTCATGCCGGTTTAAACTGCATCATCTAGTGAGTCAGTGAGTATTTGTCAGAACATTCAGTTTGGAGAGAATTATTGAAGATTATGTTTTCCTGAGGAAACACTGAATCATTTAGAAGATAAGCTGGTTGCATCTACTGCTTGAGGGGTTATGATTATGTTTAAGTCTCTTGCATCATGCCTCAGTAGTGGGAATTCAGTCATAATCAATGTGACATTAGAGGAGGAAAAGGTAATCATCCACATTTGTTTAAGTGTCCATTGTCAGGATTCAGCTGACCACCCTCAAGGAGTAAGAAATGTTCAATTGACTGATAACCCACAGTCTGCTAAACAATACATCCCAGAACAAAAATCAGTCATTCCCCTGGCTCCACAAGATTTTTTTTTTTTTCTGTCCATGTTCTGCCATTCAGTCCTTGGATCAGACAGAATTGGATGGCCTTTAATTTATAGGTGCTTTTATGTGTAGTTTTAGAAATAAATTCTGCTGCTAAGGAAAAAGCCCTTACCTGTTTGAAGGAGGGAAGTATGGGGTATGGATGAGAAATGTTGGATGAGAATTTAGCTGAAAGATTGTATGAAACTGAAATGTTCATAGTCTTTGGGTGAAGATGAGAAGGCCAGGTATTTTAAAGATAATATTGGATCTGTTGTCCTGTGAATTGAAGCTAAATGTTACTATTATTAAAGGGGTCATATGATGTTGCTAAAAAGAACATTATTTTGTGTATTTGGTGTAATGAAATGTGTTTATGCGGTTTAAGGATAAAAAAACACATTATTTTCCACATACATTATTGTTTCTCCTCTATGCCCCGCCTTTCTGAAACGTGTCGATTTTTACAAAGCTCATCGGTCAGAAAAAAACGCGTCGATTTTTACAAAGCTCATCGTTCTGAAAAGCGAGGTGTGATCTGATTGGCCAGCTATCCAGTGCGTTGTGATTGGCCGAATACCTCAAGCGTGTGACGGAAATGTTACGCCCCTTACCATATTGTGATGCTGTGTTCCGGAGCGACGAGACAAAAACATTAAAAGCCATTATAAACGAGGAATTTGTTGCATTCAGTGGGGACATAATTCTGAATTATAATGACTTGTACTTTCTTTTTACATGTTGCGTTGCATCGCGCCGCGTAAACATAAAACCATGTCAGCATTTGTGATCGGAGAAATTTGTTTCATTCTCACTAACTCGTGAGGAATATTTTCAAACAAATCTCTCAATTGGCCTGTTCTCATCTCTCGAGTCATCATGAAGTTTAGCTCCAGCAACATCTCCCGGCTATACTGGCGTGCAGACGGCACTGTGACGCCACATGTTGTCAAGGTTCCACGTGCAGTTGGAGATTGCATCGCCAAACATAATCCATAGAGGCCAATCGTCCACAGAATCCAAATCAAGAGTGCATTTCTCCCAACCTTCATCTTTCCACTTTTACGAGACCACGAACCACACACTTAACAAACCATGAATAAACGTTAGACTAACAAACAAAACCGCAAACACAGTATACTGAAACGCAGTGCGCCACTGAGCAGCGCACCACCACTCTCGCAAGCGGCAAGCGCAGACTAATCTACTCTACCAGGATCAGGAAACAGTCCTCCATAAAATGCGTTGCACACATCTGAATATTTGGGTTGAACTGTTGTGGAACAGTGTTGTAAATACAACTTAACCACTGATTTCTAGTCGTGTCCTCTTTTGGAAGGCCAAACAAAGTAGTTTCGCTTTCGCAACGAAACACACAGCGTCTTCACAACATGGCGGCGGCGGTGGCAACAACAATAAAGTTACACCTTCTATCTTTGCGTGAACATTTGGGCTGCGTTATGCAAATCTTCCCACACAGTGATGTAGACATGTGGGGGCATGTTAAAACGAGGTGTTTTAGGAGTGCGTGGACCAGTCTTAACTTTTATAAAGAATATCTCTTTGGGTTTGAGACTTTAGTCTTTGCAACTCTAGGGATCTTCTCTATTCACGAACAGCTTGTAACACTCCAAAGAGAAAGGAAAACTTGAAATCGCATCATATGACCCCTTTAATGGGCCTGTCACTAAATATCAATCACTCTGTGGTTTTGCTGTGTAGTTTTGCATTAAGCTATCTAGCACTGTTGTTTTTGGTAGAATTGAGTGATTCAGTTGTTCAGAATTTCCCCTTTTTTCAAAGCACTAGATCAGTGTGCTTGGCCCTATAAAGTACTTTGTTTTCTTTTCAGTATCAAGATGAAAAATATTATTCTGTAACTTTCAGTCCAGGTCATTCTCAGGGAACATTCCTGAGCTATTCGGTACATCTAAATCTGAACTCCTGCTGGTTTTATTATTATAGCCAGCAGACAGGATTTAATGTCACTTCAACATTAAATCACAATGTGAGTTTTGTTTTCTGTCATTAGGTCTGGACCTGGAAGAGGGGAAGGAAGGCGGATCGTGGCTGGGAATTAGCAAACGAGGGAAACTGGCAGCACTGACCAATTACCTGGATGCACGGCAAAATCCTGACGCTCAGGGGAGAGGTAGTGCATTTCTTTCACCCATTTGTATTAATGTACTCTACTATTACTGAGCAGTTGACTAGACACACTTAATCAACGTATTACCCTGACAAATTACTCTTAATAGTAGCATAATTCACCTTTGAAAAGCCTTCATCATCCATGTATTTTCTGTTCAAGTAAGCAGGCATGCAGAGATTATTTTCCTGTTTTTTATATATATATATGTGTGTGTATAAAAAAACGGCTCAAGCCGATCGAGTCTCTCATTAAAATTTGCTATATGCAAACATATATCATGGACTAATATACTGAAGAGTCTTATGCAACAAACACCTCTATACATGCACACCTCCAAATCCTTTTTTTATGTATTGTCTTATAGTATACAAGCATAAAGCTGAAACAAATTTTACCAAAGAACGGAAGTGCTGAGAAAGTAAAAACAGCCCAAAGGGGTTTGTACAAAATACTTTCTCACAAATAAAAAATAAATTAGATTTTCAAATCAGCAAAAGAAATAATAACAATAACTAGATTTTTACATTTTTCTGAAGAAAATGTGAGTGGTGCTTGCCTTTGCAAAACTCACAGACGATGATAGAAATGGCCACATTTTTCACAATTTCACAATTTCTAGATATGGCCGGGGACTGGACTGGAATTTTCATCCATCTTATCAAGGTGATGCTATGCGGATGCTAAGGCCTTCTTAGCGTTTTTTAGCATGTTGCTATTTTTTAGGGTAATCTGGGTGGTGGTTAAGGCATTGCTAGGTGGTTTTTAGGATATTCTGGCTGGTTGTTAAACCATATTAATCGAAAGAGCCCATGACTAAGTGTCTGGTCCCTGGATAGGACTCGGGTCCCTCCGTCCGTCTTGGTTTATGGAAATTTTCATGGCACACTTCACTCCTCAGTAAAAACTGTATGATTTGAGGTATCATTCATCAGAGGTTTACAACAAACCTTTGACCGAGAGCAATAATAATAGAGATACTTGTATTTGCAAGAAACACTAACAATAATTATAATAATGTAAAAAGAAACTAAAAGAAATGAAAAGAAAGTACTATCCACATGCGCCACCAGAGTACTTTGATGTTTAATAGATGGTTCTTCGGATCAGTTGAGATTAAAATGACCCTAGTTTTAACACATTGCAGATTTTTTACATTTTCACCTACATTTTCAAATTTTGCTGCTCCAATATGAAGCTTATTCTAATGATGTAGTTTTTCTTTACTCATAACCCACCATGCTGAAGAAGTTAGGCTGAATATTAAGTGGAGTTGCCTTAATTGTGTTATTCTTAATGATTGCTGACATGTTATGGGTGGTGAGGCCGGAGACGTGAACAGCTGTTCACTGCAGATCTCCACTCAGCTGAACTAGACTCCTCACTGTCATCACTCCAATGTCTGTTTAGGTTCTTCAAGGCCTCTTTATAAGCTGACACCTCACTAGCACTTACCATCAAAAGCATGTCGAACACACCCCACCCCTCTGTTCCCAAGCCATGTCACTAAATATAATGCAAACAACCCAGCTGTTATTTGGATGGTTGTACAAAACAGCTGCGTGCAAGAGCTGGAGCAATATGGCTCAGTACATGTTGTTCAACAAATTGCATTCATTTGAGCAATTAGTTCTCTAAATCTGCCTAAATTACTTATTTGAGAGTGGACAAAATTAAATGACCTTCACCATGCAGTTCACAACCCATTCTTCCTCTTTCACAATCCATGGTTGTAATAAATTGGATTATTGATACACGCTTGTCTGCATTTATCATTTTTGCTCAGGTTCCCTGGTGTCCAACTATTTGATGGATAACTTGGACAGTTTTGCGTACCTCCGTAAAGTGTCTTCAGAAGCTCATTTATATAATGGCTTCAATCTCCTTACTGCTGACTTCAGGTGAGTGGTGGAAGGCAAATCTTGGTTGGCTCTTTTCATTATCTATAACCTTGCTTAAATGGTGAATACATCGAAATAATCATAAATGGTTTACTGTTAGCGATTTCCCTCAATTTGTGAAAGCATTTAAATTCAAACTCATTCAAATAGGTGTTTTTTCTGTTTTAATCTGTTTGTTGTTGAGGTGAATTTGTTATATTTGTTGGAGTGTTTGGTGGCAAATACAGTCATAATTTAGTTTAGTTATCATAGTACATCAAACTCTAATTATTATCAGACTCTAAAAGATCATTTAAATTAGACATTTAATGAAGTGGCTTATTGATTGAAATTCTGTCAAATAATGAAACCTGAAATGCCTTTGTTTCTTACATTTAAAGAAAGAAAATTAAATGATAAGTGATGCCATTCTTACTTCAGTCTTTCAGTTAAATCCAATTAAATCATGTACATTTCAGATGTCAGTTTACTAATTAAAACCACTTGTCACTAATTCTAACCAAATCTGTTTAAAGAGATGCAAAGTTTTGAGAAATAACTCTAAAATTACTACAAGTGAAGTGCCTCTCTTTCATGATCTCACTTTCTTTATCATTTGTTATGAGGATGACATGACAGTGATGATACTGTCTTAAGCTCTGGAGTCCTTAAGAGGGACAGCAGGCACTGGTGCCGCCACCTGCTCTCCATATACTGAAGCTCAAGAAATCTATTTAGAATATAGTCCGAACAGATGGCGTGTTTCCAGCAGCGTGACTTTCTCAGAACATAGTAATTTGAGGCGATTTAAAGGGATACTCCACCCCAAAATGAAAATTTTGTCATTAATCACTTACCCCCATGTCGTTCCAAACCCCTAAAAGCTTCGTTCGTCTTCGGAACACAATTTAAGATATTTTGGATGAAAACCGGGAGGCTTGTGACTGTCCCATTGACTGCCAAGTAAATTACACTGTCAAGGTCCAGAAAAGTATGAAAGACATCGTCAGAATAGTCCATCTGCCATCAGTGGTTCAACCGTAACGTTATGAAGCGACGAGAATACTTTTTGTACGCGAAGAAAACAAAAATAACGACTTTATTCAACAATTCATCTCCTCTTTGTCTCTCTGCATCACTGTAGCGCCATTTTGGAGAATAACTGATCGCAAGCAGCGTACGCTATTCTGTGTCAACCGCGCTGCACGGATGCACTGTTTCTTTCAAATCAAAGCGTGAATACACGTAGAAAACATATCCTTGTGTCACGGCTGACACAGAATAGCATACGCTGCTTGCGTTCAGTGGTTATTCTCCAAAATGGCGCTACAGTGATGCGGAGAGACACAGAGGAGATCGTTATTTTTGTTTTCTTCACGTAAATATCTTAAATTGTGTTCCGAAGACGAATGAAGCTTTTAGGGGTTTGGAACGACATGGTGGTAAGTGATTAATGACAACATTTTCATTTTGGGGTGGAGTATCCCTTTAAGAAGATGGGTTTCATGATTCCACATATTAAAGGTAAAAATAATTACATTTATTGAAATAATTCATGTTTTTTTGTGTGTATAATACCATAATGCTGGTTCAGTGTAGAGGATGTCTATTTTATATTGCATTAACAAACTAGTAGCCTAAGAATGCATTCACAGTTCACTGTAACATGAACAACAGCAATAGGAGTGAACACATACACTATAGCTGAGTAGTGTTCATTGATTTGATTGACGCTGCCATGTGTATTTAGCTAGATATTAGGATGTACTTAAAACTCTTCGATTGTGTCTGTCTCTTGTCCTTAAATTAATCATCTCCTACCTTTTTATTCAGTGTTACTAATATTTTCCATGTTTTGTGTTGTGACCATTATCATTTAAGGAAAACTGTCCTCTTTATTTCTTTTAATTCTTCCAGATACATTAATCACAGTAGTTAGCCGTGTGCTAGAGACTTGGGGCAAGACATCATCACCCTATCATTTAGCTTGCTGAAAGGCTGTCTGCTAATGTAGTGATGGATTACTTAAGTCCATGCTGTCATCTGAGGGACTGGGGGGGATAATATTTGTCCATTTGTCTCTTCAAGCGGGTATTTATAAACAGAAAATACATTGGAAGGCCACTCAGACTCCCAAACCCAGTAATGAAACCGAAGGCGATAGCCATGCAGAGTGTTATTCATTTGTTTACCCTTTTAATAAACAAGATCATTATTGAGCTTATCGGACTCTCCCTTTCTTTCCTTGGCCACAAAGGACAAAATGATACATGTCCAGATGAACTCTGAGGAATTACAATGGGCATTTTGTGCTGAAATCAATACAACTGTCTTCTGTAAATAGAGACGGCCTTTCTTAAAGAATAAAGAGGTTTTGTTTGTTCCTCTACAGGGATGTGACTGACAACACTGATAATTTCCTTATGTTTTATATGATATTTCAGCCCAATTAAACATTTTTCTGCTTGTTTAGATCATGCTTGGTATTAAAATTCCGCTTTGAGTGTGCTGCTCATCGCTTTCACATATAGACTATATAGATTCTTTCAAGGGCTCATTTCATGAGGAATCAAATTTTCCTTGAACTTTGGTGTTTAAAGGGTTCGATTAAAGTGTTCGTTCTGTAAATTTCAGAACTTCCTCCCCAGTGAAAAAGGACAATTTATTGTAACAGGGCTGCAAAAAATAGCTCATTCTTTACTTTCTTTTGGGGTCAGTAAGATTTTTTAAAATGTGGTTTTAAAAAGTCTTTTATGCTCACCAAAGCCTCATTTATTTGATCAGAAATATAGTATATACTGTAGTATGTGACCCTGGACCACAAAACCAGTCATAAGGGTCAATTTTTGAAAAAAACTTTCCATTGATGTATGGTTTGTTAGGATAGGACCATATTTGGCCGAGATACAACTATTTGAAAATCTGGAATCTGAGGGTGCAAAAAAATCTAAATATTGAGAAAATCACCTTTAAAGTTGTCCAAATTATATATTTACAGTAGGAAATTTACAAAATATCTTCATGGAACATGATCTTTACTTAATGTCCTAATGATTTTTGGCATAAAAGAAAAATCAATAATTTTGACCCATACAATGTATTTTTGGCTATTGCTACAAATATACCCCAGCGACTTAAGGCTGGTTTTGTGGTCCAGGGTCACATATTGTGAAATATTATAAATAAATATTATTTAAAACAATATTTTTTTAATTAAGTTGTAAAAATTTGAAATAGTTTTCTCTTTTTATGTATTTTCAAATGTAATTCAATTCTCTGTTGGCACCACTGAATCTTCAGCAGCCATTACGCCAAATCTTCAGTGTCACATCATGATACTTCAGAAATCATTCTAATATGCTGATATGCTTTAGAAAGGTTTCAAAACAAAACCGTTGTGCTGCTTAATGTTTTTTGGTAATTGTGATAAAAAAATTATTTGATTAATATAAAGTTCAAATGAACTGCATTTATTTTTTTATTTTGTTTACTATTGAATGGAAGACTTATATTAACCAAACTTTAATCAAACTTTCCTTGATAATTGGAGATTAAAGTGTTCATTTTGTAAATTTCAGAACTTCATCCCTAGTGAGAAAAGACCATTTACTAAAACGGAGCGGCAAAAATGACTGGTTCTGTACTTCCTCAACTTTCTGATGTCAGGCAGATTACTTTATTTTAACACATGCACATGTGACCATCCACATTTACGCTATGTCAATGATGCCTATTCAGTCAAGGTGGGGTAATGTAGAGGAAGTAAGATTGGTTCTATCTGTGTTGAGCTGTTTTGTTTTGATCCTGTCCGAATGTAATGCAGGCTTTGCATAGAGCCTGCTTTGAAGAATGGAGCTGTTAAAAAATTGCTTAGAGCTAAAAGCAAACCTGCAGTTCACAAATAAATGTTTCTAATTTCACATGCAAATAGGGCATTTACACTGAAGGGAGAGCAGTAACTACTTAAATATAATAAAAATAAAAATTTTTAAACATTCTAACAACTGGACATTATGAAAAAATAAAAACGGGTAGAAATAAAAATATATATAAAAAAATTAATGATATAATATAACCTGATAAATCTTTAAACTGATTTTTAAACTTTAACTTGGATTTGTTTTCTGTATATTATAATTATTATATTATGTTACTATATATTGTGTATGGAATTTATGGATGTAGCTGGATAGGGTTACTGTTATGAGTGTAGTTATAATTAGATTCCTGAAAGTTGGTATGATAGATGGGTGTGAAAGTTGGGTGTGTAACCCTAAAATTTTTGTCTGCTGACTAGTTGACTGGCTGTTTTAGCTGTGTAAGGCTTGGTCTTTCTGGTCCAAATCTCAGAACGAAATCACCTTGGCATAATGCTTAAAACTGGTAACTGAAAATGTCGCTATTTGAGTTTATTTTGCGAAATAATATTAATAAAAGCGTGTCTCCGGAACAAAATTCATTTGTAACTTGATCTGATTGTTGGTTTTCTAGCAATTGTTGTACTGCATAAATACATCATTAGAAGACTATTTGGCTCTTATGCCCCAGTGTTTAGAGTCTTTCAGTGCAATTAATGCATTAGTGGAGATAGATAAGGCCATTATTAAAAGGTATTATGTGTGTGCCAGTGTAATTTGCTCAAATTAAGTTCTTTTTATAGACTCAGCTGGCGTAATGGGGAGTTATGTATATTTAAACAATAAGACACAAGATATAAACAGTAGTTACAGGTGTTTTGTGTCATTGCTTTTACTATATTATGTATTTTAGCATGTCTGGAATGTTACATTGACCAATCATCATCCCGGTCCAGAACTAATCATTTAATAAGTATATAATATAAACAATATGTTGAGCTTGTAAATAAATAAAACTGAATACAGAGAGAAAATCAACTTTGTAATCTCTTCAGTGCACTAAATCCTCCAAAAAAAAAGTAATGTAGTTCAGCAAAATGCCATTAATAAACATTCACTGGAAGATTCCTAAAACAGATGTGGTTTTACTGAAAGTCGGCATTCTGCATACTTATTTTATCCCTAGTACATATGCATACTTATTTTATCCCTAGTACATATACAACGGGGTCTAGTCTCCAGAGTTCTGAGGCTTCTGAAGTCCTTTCCTCGCTGTCTGACTTTCTCTTCGTCGTGGTTTGTCATCGCTGCCAAACTGTTCCACCAGCATTATTGATGTCCCTCTCAAAGTGCTTTCAGAAACCCTAAATTGGCCATTTCTCCTTTCATAGCCGTCCTCCTGTGTCTCCTGGGCCAATAAAATGTCCTCTGAAACACACGGCTGTATCACCATAGTTCCATCAGGAGTAATGTGCTTTATTGAGGATCCATCCACTAGATTCATGTGTATGAAAACAGGAACATGTCTAATCAGATAAATTGTGATTATGATATAGTGACTGAGCTCATACATACAAACTAAAAGGATATTCTCTCTCCTCCTTAAATACAGACTGATTTAGGAAGATTTATTTCATGAGCTGATGAAGGACAGAGACTGTCTATTCTACTCGTTCTGTCTGTCTGTCTGTTCTGTCATTCTATCTATGTATCGTTCTGTCTATCTGTCGTTCTTTCATTCTATCATTCTATCTATTGTTCTATCTATCTGTCTATAACAAAGCATATGGAAAATGTCTGTATAATGTTTATTTGTGTGTGTGTGTGTGTGTTTGTATAATAAATGGCTTATTTTGTTTTTGTGAGTTTTGATACTATATTAGTTAGAATGTATTGATTTGCACTGTGTAACCCTAAACTATATGCATATTTATATGATAAATGATTTGTTTTGTTTGTGCATGTTTTGCTACTTTATTAATTAGGATATGTTGATTTGCGCTGACTTATTCTACAGTTCTATATATATATGCATTACATAACTATGTAAATTTGGTTCTGTGTTTACAATGACAAATGATGCAAAAATAGCTGTAAATATGTGTTTAATTGTGTTTTAGCAGTGAGCACTAACTCATTTTTTTCTCGCTGTTTTGTTGGATGCAGGGCCAATGAAGACACATTGTGTTACTATGGAAACACGGGCAGTTCAGAGCCCATTCATCTCAAAGCAGGTTTGTTCAGTCCCTCAGTTAGCGCTCTGTGTTCAGATGCTAGTGGTCTTGCATAAAGCACTGCTGTTTGCAGTGTTACACCTACCGTCTGCAATACAGACCACTTTCACTCGTTCAGCACCAGATTGGTGGGTGTGTCTCACTCAAAGCTCACAGGAAGTGATGGATGATTGTTTGTTTCAGCAGGAATCTACGGGTTGAGTAACTCTCTTCTGGAAACTCCGTGGAGAAAACTGCAGCACGGCAAACGGCTGTTCACCAGTGTAGTGAACAAAACACTGTCCCCTGATGGCTTAGTGCAAGAACTGCTCCATATCCTCAATAATGAGGAGCTGTAAGTGTGCACACTCCTTCATTATGAAAATTAGTATTCTCTTGCTTTTTTCTTTTGTTTCTCTTTATCTTCCATCTATCTTTCTTAAACAAAGAAACCAGCATCCATCCTTTTTGATCCTCAAGAAGCACTTGAGACACAAAGCAAATGGATTATTAGAAAGTTACTTTATAGAATCTTTGAAGCACAAGCAGCATGATTTTTTAAGTCTTTCTTATTTCCTCAGGTTTTGTAAGGTGAATGCAGGCAGTATATCATAATGAATTTAGATATTAAAAAGCAGCTCTTCAGAGCCACATACTGGATGAGTCCAAGCCTTACTTCCATGTTAAGCATAGTTGTTTTTCAATATTTTTTTATTACAGATTTCTTTTTTCAGATTTGATCACTTTAAGTTTTCAGAGACAGTGTCACATGTGTATAACTCTGTTTGTGTTTGAAGGCATGGAAGTGAGAGCGGGGGTTCCAGGGAGTTTTATAAATTTGTGACAGACAGATTGCCTACCCATGTCAGCAATGACCTTCTAGATCATGTAGATGCATTAATGGGGCGGAAACAGCCGTCTGATTAGACATTATGGACCAATTTGCATTCATAACATAATTATGTATTCATCAGTGAGAGTAATTCATTTAAAACCAGTTACAATGTTTTAAGTAAATAAGACCTATCAGTTGTGTCAGTTCTTAAAACTTATATTTTCCAAGCGTTGCAACTAATTAAGTTAGTATATATACTAAGTATATATACACATCCATTCAAAAGTATGGGGTATAGATTTTTTTTTTCTTTTTAAGAAATTATTACTGTTATTCAGCAAGGATGCGTTGATTAGATCAAGTGACAGTAAAGACATTTATAATGCTGCAAAAGATTTATATTCCAAATAAATGCTGTTCTTTTGAACTTTGTAGTGTAGTGTTTGTCTTTTTAAATTGTAATGCTTCACAATATTTTTGTTTTTCATCAAATAAATGCATCCTTGATGAGCATAAGAGACTTCTTTCAAAAACATAAAAAATGTTATCAACCCCAAACTTTTGAACGGTAGTGTTTATGTGTGTATGTATACACACACCACTGTATTTTTTTATTATTATTTATCAACATTTTCAGGACAAATATGAATACTTGTATACAGGGGTGTCATGCACTAATTATTTGTGAGGGGGCACGAGTGGGGGGGGGGGCCTCTCATGCTTGTCATGTGACCCACAGCAGCCACGTGACACACAGCAGCCACAATAGCACTCATGTTTTATTTATTTATTTTCCTTTTTATTCGAAACATTACCAAACGCATTAACTATATCATGAAATATCTCGATTCTCACCTTTATAGATTATGTTAGTTGATCTATAGTGGGCGATGGTCAAAGTAGCCTAATAATGTAGTCTATTAACTATACATAAAAACCTGTCTGTTTATTTAAGTAACAGATATGGGTGTCATGCCATAGCCTAAAATATTTTTAATACGACTGACTTTAACAGTCAAGATGGCGCCGAGCATGGCAGCGGTGTTGTGTGGAGCACGCTCCCAAGAATTTCACTCACCAAGGCACATGTGCTGTGGTGATGTGACAATAAAAGTGATTTGATTTGATTTATATTTAATGTGAATTTAACATTGAAAGTTAATGTGAATAAAAACATTGTAAGTTAGGCTACTTATCATAACACTTTCATTGTACAGAAAGAGAGCAACGAAATTTACTTGATCAAAGAACATTTTCACTGACAGTCTAGAGTTTAAGCACTCTCAAAAACTCCCATTAAAATCACTGAAGCTGTTTACACTGTGAAATGAATATCTTACTTACAGATTCATACACACATCTGCAGTTTGTTGTTTCTAACCAGAGAAATCGCCAGAAAGAGGTATTCAGACAGCGAGCGAGTGAAGAAAACACCGGCATTTTAGCGATGACTCATCTGAACACCTCTGATTGGCCATTGCACTCATAAGCTCAACAGCATTGTGTGTGATTGGTTATAACGCGCAGTGCTGTAAAACGCATCTGTATCTGGCTCAGCGCCAGACAGCGAATGCAGATTTGAATTTTAGCAGCTGATGATATGACGCGCTGAACAATTTAATCATGCTGGTGTGATTGTATCAAATATAGAAAATATTATTCGGCTATTTTTTGTCTTTTGGAAGTTGCAATCAAATTCCACTTGGCTCTAAAATCACTTTGAATGGGCATGACGCCTCTGCTTGTATACTTGTAGGATTTCTCTGCATTCTTAAAATGCTCAGGTCTTTATCAAAGCATCAGCATGATTTGTCACACTAGAGTCGTAAGAATCTCACCTCTGCTCTTTCCAGAAACACCCCGGACCCTGCACAGGAAAATCAAGGTGTGGGCTTCAGTAAGGCCATACTCCGAGCTCTGTCTGCAGTGTGTGTGCGCTCACCAGGATACGGCACAAGGTCCCCTCATGCTATTCCTACTCTTACTTCTTTCTCTCTCCATAGAGCAGGGTGACACTCAACCAATTCATGCTGCACTTTCTATTTTACCTCCAATTTTGAAGTTTGACCAGTGTCATATTTTTGTCTCTCAGGACCAATACAGTCATCCTCATCGACCGAGAGGGAAACGTGAGCTTTACGGAGCGCACCATGCTAAACTGTGACCTCACCCAGTGGAGCACAAATAGCTTCCACTTCAAACTGCAAGAATGAGGGCCAGATGCCAGGCCAGGGGAAGAAGACTCTCACGCTGTGCCTTTATCCAGCCACTATCTGCTCAAGCCATGCACCACTGTTTCTACCAATATGAACATCAAGATTTAATTCAGACTTTCCAGTTGAAATAGGAAAGTGGTTCATTATTGCTACTGCTCTGTTCTGCTCTGTTCTGTTCTGAGAGGAAGCTTGGTAGCACGTTTTTTTTTCTAGGTAATTGTTCTTTCTAATAACCAATGGCTCATGAGAAGGCTCACAAGGAATCTGCAGCCACAAACATCAGATTTCCATACAGTTTACAAGACAGACACAGAATTCCAGATTTCTTTCAGATCAGTTCAAAAAGGTGCGCAGATTCCGTCTGAATCTACTCATGAGGTGTGACTTTGAGTTCATGTCATTCAATCTGCAATTATTAATGAATATAGATGTGGATAAGGTTGAAGAATGTAAAATGTTATTCATCATCCACTGAATCCCAAACAAACTGTCATTGGCATGAAATGCTGTTGGACAGAATCGTTTAAGGAACAAGATGTCTACTGCCAAAGAATGATTGTGTTAGTCACAATCTTTATGAACACAAGAAAATAAATCGTCTTCATAATCTTGCACAATGTAAACTGTACTTGCTATTCAGTGTGGTAGTGATCCACTGTAATACCTTTCACTCAGGAACTCCCTGAGAGCTACTGCCAAAAAAAAATTGAGACCATTTTTCTTCTTTTTCTTCATCTTAAATTGAAAGGATGTTTTTTTTGTCATATTAAATGAAACCATTTTGATTTCACTTCGAAAGTGTTGAAAGTTTGAAGTCTGTATGGTTTGGTATTTCCATTGCTGCTTTCATAATCTTATCTGATTTCTAATATCAACGCATCAATGCATTTTGTCAGCTGTCAGGAATCCAATATGATCTTGTCATTTAAAGTCACGTCTATGGTTAATAACAGTGTGCCCGAAATGTAGTATTCAGCTTTTAAATGACAGTTGCGGCCTCTTGGCTTTTTGTTATGTGTGTGTGTGTGTGTGTGTGTGTGTGTGTGTGTGTGTCTTAGTTAATAACAGTGAAAGATACACATTTTTAGCCAGACCTAATTATCTTTTCTGAACTGACAGCAACAAGGTAGGTAACAGAATACCAAGGTAATGGAAATCAGTCAGGTATTCTGTTGAGTGTCAAGAATAAAAGAGATGCGATTGACCTCACAACATAAAGCTATCATGTTGTTTAATCTATTGCAACTGTTATTTATATATTGGAATGTGACTGATTGTGGTCTGCTGCCATCTAGGGACAAGTAACATTTTTAAAGCCCAGATGGTGAAGCTGTTACTAAATTAAACTACATTTATTTGTGAAAATTGTCTTGAATTATTTAGACAAAGACAATGATCATCACTCAAAAATTTGAATGAGAAACAAAGGAACCCACTGTTTAGTAGTTCGGTTGCCACTTGTATGTATTACCAAATTATTTTTGATCCGTTTAGAATTACATTTCCCTCTTTCTATGCATTCTTACTATTCAAATGTCATCAAAGATAGTTCATTCATGACCATGATGATACATTAGTTGGATTTGATCTTCTCAATATCTCTATCCATTCTGCATTTCCAAAGAGTGTAAGGAAATATAAATTTAGAGAGAGAAAAAAAAGTTATGATTAGGTGTATTAGTCTGAAATGAAGAACAAGTCCCCCATATCATATTTTCTTTAGGCTGTATTGATAATATTAATGCATATAAAGAAAGTGATTTTCTGCCTTTAGACAGACACAACAAACACTGAATCAGTAAATATGCTTCATTAAAATACCTTGATTCCAAATATAAAACACAAAAATGCAAGGAACCGCAAAATAATTCTTTATTTAATCAAAAAAAAGTCCGTATTTGAAATGATGCTAATATTAACAGATTTTTCATGCCTGGTGGACTGATTTAAACGCATTATTATAACGATTTTGAATACATCATACAGAGTTGAGCTTTTCATAGCAAGAGAGACTGACAAGGAATAATGCATTATTAAAATCTTACAGCAATGTGAGAGCCAAGATGGACAGGCGTGTTATTACTTTTATATCCTTTTTGCACCATGGTTATAACAAGAAAAAAGACATGTCACTCCAGACAATATACCCAACCTCACAGTGCACAATCTGTAGACACAATATACATTTTTTATTATTATTATTTTTATTACAATTGTAAAATGTAATACTTTTTGTTAAATTTTTAACAGCATTCATGAAACAGCAAACATGTTAAATATCATACATAAATATATAAAATTGATATATAAATATATCAAATCATGTGACTACTTGGCCTTATAAAAATGTGTCAAATTGCTCTGATCTGACATTTATGAAAAATAACCTTGCCCTGAGAGCAAAGTTAAACCTTTTGTTTGCAGATCCACCTTCACTATAGAGTCTGCTTTTCCATGAACGTGTGCTAATAGTAAGCTTGTATTTTATTTTTTTTTTTTATTTTAAATGTTATCTTATTTTATTTATTTTTTTCCTCAGGTAATTTCTTCCTTGCAGTTACGCTGTTTGCCTTTGAACGTCGCTGTATTACCAATCTTGGCGCTTTCGAACTCCTCGGCTCCCTTACATTGGCATTGTGGGTAAAGTAGTGCAGCGAATATTGCGACACCTTGCAACTTATTCTTTTTAAATAGACAAAGAACTACAATTACAGTGAGGCGCGAGGAACAAGTTTAGTAACAGTGCCTTGTCTTAAAGGGGTCATATGATGCGATTTCATTTTTTCCTTTCTCTTTGGAGTGTTACAAGCTCTTGGTGCATAAACGGGAGATGGAAATATGAGAAAGCTAACTTGACTGAGTATGTGGAAATGGTGGAGGATGGTTTAGACATAAATGAAGTAAGAAATGGAGATGACATAGAAGCTATAAGTGAGAAAATTATAGGGGTCATGAAAAATGCAGCAGTAAGTAATATTCCTAAGAGTAAAGGAAGAAGAAAGACAAAAATGGTACCATGGTGGAATAAGGAGTGTGATGAAGCTATTAGAAGGAAAAGGAGAGCATACAAGAAAGTAAGAAGAATGCATAACTATCAAGATTTAATGGAATATAAGAGAGAACATAAGGAGTGTGATGAAGCTTTTAGAAGGAAAAGGAGAGCATACAAGAAAGTAAGAAGAATGCATAACTATCAAGATTTAATGGAATATAAGAGAGAACAAGCAAAAGTAAAAGAGGTGGTAAGAAGGGTAAAAAGGCAACATTGGAGAGATTTCTGTGACAGAATAGGGGAAAGTACATCAATAGAAGAGGTATGGAATATGATCAGAAGAATGAATGGAATAAGGAAGGAGATAGAATATCCTGTTTTAAATGAAGGGGAAGTCATAGCAGTAGAAAACAGTGAGAAAGCAGAAATGTTTTGTAATACATTTATAAAAGTAAACGGTACGGAAAATCTGACTGAAGAATTTAAGAGGGAAAGGGAGGAAATATTAAAAGAGCATCCTCATCTATTGGACAAAAAAAAGGAAAGCGATAATATAATGGATGTCCCATTTGGAATGACGGAACTAAAACGAGCGCTGAGGAGAATGAGAGAAACTACTCCTGGTCAAGATGAAATCAGCTATTATATGATCAAGCAGAATCTTGAATCTTGAATCTTAAGTGAGGAATCATCGAGAGTAATGTTATTGTTGTTAGAATTCGTTTGGGAAATGGGGGTACTACCACAAAGTTGGAAAGAGGCACTGGTATTGCCAATAAGGCCAATAAGGAAGGATCCAAGTAAGCCGGCTAATTATAGACCAATAGCCCTTACATCTCATGTAGGGAAAGTGATGGAGAGAATGATAACGGACAGACTAGTTTATTTTTTGGAAAAAGAAGGAAAATTATCACCTTATCAAAGTGGATTTAGGGTAGGAAGAGGAACTATGGATCCGGTTATGTGTTTGGAAGCGGAAATAAAGAAGGCTCTATCAAATAAAGAATCAGTAACTGCCGTGTTTTTCGATATTGAAAAAGCCTATGACATGTTATGGAGAGAGGGTTTGATGATAAAATTGCCATGTTTTAAAAAGCCTATGACATGTTATGGAGAGAGGGTTTGATGATAAAATTGGAGGAGATGGGGGAGATGGGGGTA